TTACTGCTTGGATACAAACCAAGTACCACCTGAGGCTACAGCAGTAAGAGAAATAACCAGAATATCAGTACACGCTGGATAGTTCTTCCTGCTTTCAGCAAAATATTGAAAAAGAGGATGGATGCAGATTAAGCTGTCTGCAGAGATGGAAGAATTATATTGCTAAGGGGCACACTTCTGTCTACAGCCTGAAGTCTAATTGATGGAAAGTCCCATAATTTAGAACTTTACAGAGTTAAAAATGCCAGTTGCTACTATCTGCTAAAACTAAAGCCAATATAAGCAGGAAGCTTCTGAGCTCTAACATGAAATAAGATCGATGCCCCAAGACTTTCTTATTCTGCCAAAGATCAGATAAATAATGCATTTACTCTTTGTAGTTTATTGTTTTTCATTGATTTAAGCAGTGGCCATTAAGTAAGGTTTAGGGAAATGGGCAGAATATGAGGCTGTTACCAAAAGATGACAGTCTTCATGCTCAGAAACTGTGTGTCAAGGTGTCTGCTATCTGCTTGCACATGGAAATTCCATGTGAAGTTTGAAGTTTGTGAAGTTTTTTAGTGATTTGTATTGCCAAGAAACCCCGGGCTTGGCCAGCTCTCTAACTCTTAAGGCCATCCCTGGGCCCATGAACTCCTAACAATAGGAAATAGAGTATGAGAACTTTCAGAGCCCCCCCCCCAAAAAGGCATCTTCCCTAAAATCTCGACCTCTGGACAAGGAGGCTGCCCCAGCGGACAGAACTAGAAACCTTGAAGAACAGTGAGCCAGAGAGGATCTTGCAGTCTCCCAGAAAATTGAATTAGGTACTGCCAGATTGGCTGACTAGAGAATGGATGCCTTGGCCAAAGCAAGGAGTCCTTATTCTTCCTGACTAGCAGGATTTAGGATTTGCTATGAACAAGTGACTGTTGTATATTTTCCGTTCCAAGTTGTTATTGTTATATCCTATTTATTTTTTACTGAGGTCTAATAGGCATTTACTGTGTGATCTACCACAGCTAGACCTGATGGAGGAGCTAGCACATCAACCAGAAATCCTTGACTGGCGTCTGGCTGAGATTTTAGGGAACAGGTAATGAATGGATGTATTCTATAAATGGGAAGAAGGGTATATAGGTATGTGTTTAGCAAAGGGGGTGGCATTTATTGCCTCTCCAATAGCCATTCTCCCATTCTTTCTTACTAACTAAAAAATTGTGTTCAGAGTACAGTGAACCAAGCCAAAAAAAAGGTTTCCCAGACAGCGTGACACCAACCTGGCCTACATAAGCAAATACTGGCGCTACTTCTAAGAAAGCCAGTTAAAAAGGAATAGGCTGAGCTGAACTCTTCCTTTTGCGCTTTTCCCTGCTCTCTTCTTCCTACCTGGAGTGCAGGTGTGATGTGACAGGACCAGTAAAGACAAAACCACACACGGAAGATAGCAGAACAGGGAGAAGAGAAAGAGCCTACTGACCTGCACTGGCCCAAGGCTGCCTTCATGTGCATGTCTTAATAATGTGAGAAAATTAAATTCCTTACTTATTTAAGCCACTCTTTGTTGTATTTTTGGTTATTCAGAGATGAACGTATTCTAAAATAATGTAGGCAGATTTAGCCATCTATTCTCCTGTTCTCCCATAAAAACATTATACCACTTTTGTATCACAGTATATTATACTGCAATTTGTTGTCTTTTCCATTTAACTGTAAATTTCTTGAAGTTAAAGCAACTATACCTTTGTACCTTCATTTTTTTGTTGTTAATACTAGCATAAAATAGGCACATGTTTGATAAGTAAATTCCTGTTATTTTTACTAAGTTAAAATCTACATTATAATTTACTCTCTGATGAAACCTCCAAAGATTTGGTAAAAGCAAGTGGGATATAAACAATGGTTAAATATACTTATTTAACTGGTTTTCATTTAGATAACCTAGGTTACCATCTGGCTAAAAAAGCATTTATTTTTAGTCAGAACAGTTCTTTTTTTTTTTTCTGAGACAGAGTCTCAAGCTGTCGCCCTTGGTAGAGTGCCGTGGCGTCACACAGCTCACAGCAACCTCAAACTCTTGGGCTCAAGCAATTCTCTTGCCTCAGCCTCCCAAGTAGCTGGGACTACAGGCGCTCCCCGTGACGCCCAGCTATTTTGTTGTTGTTGCAGTTGTCATTGTTGTTTAGCTGGCCCTGGGCAGGTTTGAACCCGCCAGCCTCAGTGTTATGTGGCTGACGCCCTACCCACTGAGCTATGGGCGCAGCCCCCAGTTCTTTTTTTTTATTAAGTAAAAATTTCGGATTTCTATATGGGTTGAATTTCTTTCTTAGTGATATCTTTTTTAAAAAAAAAAACTTTAAAACAAATGCAAAAGGTAAAAAAGTTGAAGTGCGTGAGAACTTCCTTTACTCATATTCTACAAATGCTAAGATTTTCCATGTGCTTTATCATCTTTCTCTCATGTTTTTCCTCAACTTTCTGAAAGCAAAGTAGACATAATGCGTCTTCACACCAAAATGTCCCTTTTGTCTTCCTTCATCTGGAGCAGTCAGTCCCTCAGCCTTTGTCTTTCATGACCATGATGTTTTGAAGAGTATAGGCAGGTTATTTTATAGAATGTTACTTAAGCATTTTTTCATCCTGACAGCTCATCTGTATTCAGCTCTTTTGGAAAAAAGAGGCAGAAACTATACATCCTCTCAAAAATTTGTATCGTAAGAGCTTTATCTTTATTTTTAAAATAATTTTGAATTATTATGGGTACATAATAGTTGTATATCTTTATAGGGTATATGTGATTTTTGATATAGGCATATAATGTAAATTGATCAAACCATGGTAATAGGGGCATTTATAATTTCTTTGTGTGGAATATTCCACTTTTACTCTTTTAGTTATTTTAAAGTATACTATAAGTTATTGTTGATTATATTCACTTTGTTGTGTTATCAAATATTGTTCATTCTATCTGACTAACTTTATTTTTGCACCCACTAACCATTTCCATTTTACACACACACACACACACTATTCCTCCCAGCCTCTGGTAACCATCCTTCTATTCTGTTTCCATGAGATCAATTGTATTTTATAATTAGATACAATATATTAGTGAAAACATCCAAAATCTGTCTTTCTGTGCTTGGCTTAGTTTACTTAACATAATGTTCTCCATTTCCATTCATGTTGTTGCAAATGGCAGGATTTCTTTTTTTTTTTTTTTTTGTGGCTATATAACATTCCATTGTGTATATGTACCACAGTTTCTTTATCCACTTGTCTATTAATGAGCCCTTAGGTTGATTGCAAGTCTTAGCTATTGTGAACAGTACTGGAATAAACATGGGAGTGCAAATATCTTTTCAGTACACTGAATTCCCCTTCTTTGGATATACACCCGGCAGTGGAATTGCTGGGTCATATGGTGGTTCTGTTCTTAGGTTTTTGAGGAACCTCCATTTGGTTCTCTACAGTGGTTGCCCTGATATACGTTCCTCCAACAGTGTACAAGCATTCTCTTTTCTCCATATCTTTGCCAGCATTCATTATTGCCTGTCTTTGATAAAAGCCCTTTTAACTGAGGTAAGATGATATCTCATTGTAGTTTTGACTTTGCATTTCTCTGATGACTAATGTTGAAAGATCTTGAACACTTTTTCCCATATGCCCATTGGCCCTTTGCAGAAATGTCTATTCAGATTTTGCCCATTTGTTTGATTGTTTTCATTTTTCTTGTTGTGTTGTTAGAGCTCCTTATATATTATAATTATTAATCCCTTGTCAGATAGTTAGTTTGCCAGTATTTCCTCCTATTCTGGGGGTTGTCTCTTCATTTTGTTCACTGTTTCCTTTGCCATGCAGAAGCTTTTTTATTGATGTGATCTCATTTGTCCAATTTTGCTTCCGTTGCCTGTGCTTTGGGGATATTACTCAAGAAGTCTTGGCCTAGACTGGCATCCTGAAGTGTTTCCCCAGTGTTTTCTTTTAGTAGTTAAATCTCTGAGGTTTAAGTCTTTAATCCATTTTGATTTGATTTTTGTATATGATGAGAGATAAATGTCAGGTTTCACTCTTCTGCCTATGGATATCCAGTTTCTCAAGCACCATCTGTTGAAGAGACTTTTTCCCACTGTGTGTTCTTGGCACCTTTGTTAAAGATTAGTCCACTAGAGATGTGTGGATTTATTTCTGGGTTCTCTGTTCTGTTCCACTGGTGTATGTATCTGTTTTTATACCAGAGGAATGCTGGTTTGGTTACCTCAAAGAGCTTTAACTTGACTCCAGCAGTTGTCTTCCCAGGGACTTAATGGGTTTTCGTTGCTGTTTAATGATGTTTCTCAATGGAAGCACCACTGGCATTTTGGACAGGACAGTTCTTTACTGTGCCAGACTGTCCCATCCCACACATTACAGGAAGTTTGGCATCCCTGCTCCTGCACCCACTAAATTCCAGTAGCATTTGCCATTTGGTATGACAACCTAACACAGCTTTGGTTAAGAATTATTGTTCTACAAAGTTTGGAATCTTTAAATTAGGAAAGTAGTCTTATTTTTTCTATAATAGACTTATGTATAAAGAAATTTTCTCATTGTTTTAACTATCAGTAATTGGTAATTAGATGGCCAATAATGTAAGTTTTAGATTAATTTTATTCAGTTATTTAATTTATTATACTTAATAAATGGTAAAGAGTTAATTGATATATAAAAACATACATTGATATACATCAATATATAGATATATAGATCTATATATATCTGTATTGATATAGACATATATATGATATTTCTGTAGCTATCAATATATGTTTTTATATAATTTAAAATGAGAATCCTGCTAACTGTTTTCATTTAGAATCAAAGACTCCACCTTAGATGTCAACTGAAATAAAATATCCCTGGGAGATTTACCTTAAGACTAGATATTTTATTGTTATAAATTTTAGAGGGAAATGAGTATACTTGCATTTAACTCTAATTTTAATGATGTTAATTATTTTCTGTTTTTGATTTTCTTTCAGAATTGGTCCCTAGAAAAGACCTTCTTGTAGAAAACGTGCCATATTGTGATGTTCCAACTCAGAAGCAGTGAATTTTCCAGGATAAAATAAGTCTTTGTACTTTCTAATTTTAAAATATGTAACTCTGGCAAAAGGTCCTGAAAATGCAGACATTTTTCTCTAATCTGGCATATTGAACATGAATGAATTAAACAATAGCTTCATATTTAAATTTCATGTTT